TACCCGGTAATTTCCATCCGTCCATCGAGTAATAAAAATATTAGTAAAATACGGTAGAGGTAATTTTGGTAGAGGTAACGATGCCATCTCCTTTATATTCCGGATTGTCCATATTAAAACTTGAAATTTTCTAGGAAAAATTCACAGGTTTACCCCTCTAGTGTAAATGGATATTCAAGTGGGCGACATACACACACTTGCGTTTCCAGAGAGCAAAGGATCTGGTGCAATCCCATTAAAATCCGTGTTAATTCTGATGAATTGACATAAATTCAAAGATACAAACAATTAACTTTTATTTTGAAGAATATAACATTTATTCACCGGATATTATTGTCATTATAAAATGAATGAAGTTCTTTAGTTACACTCAAGATGTTAAGAGACAATTTTGTTCCTAAAAGAGAAACGTCTTCAGGCAATTTTGACCAGATGCAAATTTGTCCCAAAATCTGGGCAAAGTGTGTCAATCTTGGCAGAATTTTTCCGATTTAGGAATAAAATTGCATCTTTGGTTTGCATGTGCTCAAAAACGTTTCCTTTTTAGGAACAAAAATGATTTACATTTAAACTGTAGTTCCTAACTCAATGATGAAATATCATAAACTGATTGATAATTTTAACATAACAAAAACCTAGGTGACTTTCAGACATGTTCAGTAAAACTAATTATGGCTTGATGAAGTCAACAGTCACCATCGTCTGTGCCCTCGAAATCGTCAGTGTCTTCACCATCCCCCATGGCCATGAAAGCGTCGAAGGGGTCAGGCGCCAACTTCATCAGTCTTTCCATAACATTCATAATTGGCCCATCGAAGTCGATGGGCTCCTCATCATCGGCCTCAACTTCAGCCTCCTCGTCGCTGTCGACCGGGTCATCCTCGTCACAGTCCGACCCCTCGGCACAAATGGCCTTCTTGCAGCGACCTCCGAGCGAGAACCAGCCGCCATCCTCGTCCAAGGAAGCGCGAGAGACCTTGTATTCTGACACGAGGCCAGGCCGGGCCGCCACGAGACTGCGCAGCGCGCCGCGCCCCTTGGCTGTCACCTGGACAAAGACGGAGACATTCTTAATCGTGCACTGGAAGTTTCTTACAAGGAACTGCTCTTGGTAATGTATAAAGGATTTGACACGTGCGTTATACAAGCAAATTCTTTGAATTACGTAAGGCTCAGCTTCATCGTAATACAAAGAGCAAATAAGTGGTCGCTTTGCAATAAGAAAGAATCCGTTTCTAATAGGGTAGTTCCAGATCCTCTTTGTTAAAACCTAACGAAAAAAATGCTTTGTAAGGTTACGCAGAACACTTCGTTTTAAACAAACTACTATACATCGTTGTTTTACTATTTCCTTTGTAAAGTCCAAAGCTCCATCAAAGGTGTACGAAAATTGGTACACACTATAAGTCTCTCCAGAACAACTGCTCTTTGAAACGTACAAATGATTCCGAGCGTTTGTATTACAAACAAATTGTATTACGAAGATCCTGATTTGTATTACAAACCAGGCTTTTTGTATTACGAATGAGGGTTGTTCGTAATATGAAGGAAAATCGTTTGTAATATGGCTGCTTTAGATCCTTTGTAGGTTACAAACCCAATTCTTCGTCAGACGTACTCTGCTGTTTGTAAGGAACTAAGAGTGTATTAAATGATACAAAAATTTGTATTTGTTACGATATATATTTGTAGCTTTGCGATTTTTTACGGAGCATTTCTCAACAGTTTCTTCCGTAAAATCACGAAAACTTTACAGTGTTTGGAAGTCAACGAACTCTTTGCTGTTACGATTTAATTTGTTGGCTGAGCGATTAGCAAAACCTATTACTCCAGTGATGTTCAAAAAGTTTCGCGTCTGTTTGTTCGCTAATCGCTCAGCCAATAATAGCGAGAAACGTAAACCTCGGAAAGGAATCTGAGAATGTACGTCGTTTGTAACTGTGTACGCAAAACGCAGCAACTCATCAACACCGCAACAAAGTACTCGGATACGACATGAAGCTTGATGGCGTCATTTCTTGGGTGAAAATCATTTAGTTTACACTCTTAAATCCTTGCAAAGAAAATTCTTGTACACGGGTAAAAAAAAGGTGTGACTTCACACCTTTCCAGGGGCGTTAAAGTCAACAAAAGGCGTTAACTCTTAAGTTTTCCAAAATATTTTCTGATGAAGCAAAACAAGGTTTGTAGGGCTTACATTTTCGTATTCAGCTCAAAATTCCGCTTCGATCAAGCCTACACGGAAAAAATATGGTACCTATTCCAGCACAACGTTTGCTAGGACAACTAACGTGTTTGCTGTCAGCGTGACAAGCAGGGTGTTCGACCAGTACAGAATATGCATTTGTTCAATGTGCTTAATTCTTAGTTGTGAGAAACGAGAAAGATTGTTTTTGTAGCTAAATGCCCCTAAGCTCGTGTGACTAAATTTTCTCATCTTTGTTTGCTGAGGCATGTTGTGTCCAGCAGCCGACAGCCAGAACAAAATATGTATGGGGTGGGCCAACTATAGATTAGCTCTACCAACTAATTCCTCGACAGCTACCGCGGCTTACCTGAGTTTGCTTATGGCAGCTTACATCTAGTCTGGTGAAGCGAATTTTACTAGCTGTTAGGACTGAATCCAGAACAATCAAGGTTGTTTTTCCGAGTTCCCACTTGATGCTTGCCTTTCACCCCAGGTTTGACGCGCGCAGTGGCTCAGTGCCTCCGAGTTGAAGCGCAGCGCTGATGGGCGAGGGTTCAACACCCACTCGGGTCGGTTCTAATTCCTTGTTAAGGGCAGTAGAAGTGAGGAAGGACGCACCCTAAACAACGCAAATGGAACAACTCTGGAAAAATTTAAGTTTTAACATCTTATAAAAACTTTAGCCCGCGTTAGTTTTCACAGCTGACGTGATTATCTGCTGCAGTAAACATCGCTATGCTCTCACAGACAGAGATTAGCTCTCGCAGCTAACGCATTGCTTCACTGATATATAAAGTGTGCAACTGACACACACTTTAAAGTGTGCAACACACCTGTTGAACACTTCCAACTATTCAAAACTCGTGTTGCATCCATAGAAGTGTGCCACACGGTGTTATACACTTTAAAGTGTGTGTCAGTTGCACACTTGATATATCAGTGTGTCACGCTGGCAGCTAACACATTAGCTATCAAGGCATACTTATTTTTTCCGAGTAACTTATATGTGATAGGGTTCAGATCCCAAATGAAAGAAATTTAGTGGATTCCTGAGGGTCAATGACTTCTTTCGCCGTTCTTCAGACACATATCACATCTAGGCTCGCTCGAAGCGGAGTTTTGAGCTGAACACGTACATATAATCCATACGAACCTTAATTTGCTTCAGCAGAAAATATTTAAAAAAAATTAACGTTAACGCCTGTAGAACTTTCATGCCTTTAAAAGGTGTGATATCACACCTTTGTTTTACCGGTGCATTACATAGAATTATGAGCAACCGTAATACAAAGCCGAATTATTTTTTTTTTGCACTACAAAGAAAACACATTGTAATACAAAGGCAACTTTTGTGTAATGCAAGGAAATTTCCTGTATAATGCGGTTGCACAGAATCCTTTTGCATTATACGAAAACCTTAAAATATTTAGAGTGGTGACGATTTCATATTTTAAGAAACATATCCTGTTCTAGCAGGGAGAGCAATTTTAAATTACAAAGAAACCTCCAAAAATGTACTTACTCCACAAAATTTTAGCTCAAGCTGTTCAAGATCAGGCAGAATGCCGCACTGAAGAGCTTTGAACACAGGACTTGGAACGCGGGCGACAGACAGAGTAAGATGTCTCAATTTTTTTAACGGCGAAAGGACAGCTGGAAGGTCACGCGCCACATTCACCTGTAAAATAACCACAGTTTGACTTCAAGTTAGATTACAGTCGAAATACGATTTTCTCATTTTGTAGCACTTGTCAGCAGGGATCCAAAAAGTAACCACACTGAACTGCTTTTGTGGTCATTGCAACTAAATGCGATGATGTACACACATTTTGCAAAGATTAAAATATAGGATAACGCTCCAACAGACATTTTTGCTTTTACTGCAATTTCAGATCTATGACACCTTAAGCTGTGCTTAAGGCGTTTATCATGCAGAGGGGCGTCCATAATTGCAACAATAATTCTTTAATCGCTCCCACATGCGCAATACACTCTGAGAAGTAGTAGGAAGGTTTACAAGAAAATTTTCCTTGCCACCAGTTGTAAAATGACAGTATGTAATCGTGAACCACATGCAGTACGTATCGACATAGACCTATAATCCACACTGGATAGTGAAACATGTGCTCTCGTCACTTGACAACTTAAACTATAGTTCGAATTTACGATTATTTTTTTTAAATTTACAACGATACTTTTAAGTGTAACTGTAGTTAAATGCGAACCACATTTTGGTCGATTTAGCAAAAGCCATTTAGCCCACTCGAATCTTGACAATGCAGGGCACACTGATAAACTAAGTGTGCAACTGCTCATGTGCGACTGCAAATTAACTAGCCGGCGCAGCATGGGTCGTCGTTTTCTCGTCGGGAATTTTACCAGTTAAACGACCCTGGTGCGGCGGCAAAGGAACGGAAATACGACGGAATACCTCGATACTTCGTCGTATATTCGTACTATGCTGGTCGTTATCAGACTAGTGGAAAACGACGAGAATGGGTCCAAAACAAGCCTTAGATTTTTACGCGGGATTTCTATTTCTTTCTTAATTTCTGCTGGAGAACAACTTTTTCAAACATTGCTTGTGTTTTAGACCACACTCGCTCTCTTCTGCTCACCTTTCGTAGATGTGCATACTTTTTCGCGAGGGACGTGTTTGAAACCATGACCGGTGCGTTCTCTCTCTCGCTCCAACCAATTGTTCAGCAACCGAGTTTTCGGAGACAAGCCGATTTTCTCACCGACGTAAATATAGCACCATGAGTACCAACAGAAGAACACTTTAAGGTTACTTCACAATCCACAGTGGACAAAATCAATTGACTATTTGGAGTTTTTTTACTTTTTCCACTGATTACGTATTTTATATTAGGTTTATGTCCTCCATAGTCAATATTTTCACAAATGCTTCCGATCTGTTTCTATGTGGCTAAAATTTTGTAAGAGTGTGTTGGCCAACCTGGAATATTCTCATTCGGCTCACTGGTGGCTGGCTAGCCTACCGAGCAGCGTTTGTTGTGCTCCGCCCAATCGTACTATACTGTAATATACTATACCTTTCCGTATTTGAGGCGAAGCAAATACATTCAAGAGTTCAACTCCACAGTCGTACACTTGCAAGTGTTTAACGGTCACTGTGTGGAAAGTGCTAAACTGACAAGGGAAGGTTTTCCGGTGATACATTCAGATTTCAAAGGCACTTAAAAGAGTAGTTGTTTGCACCCCTAGATAGTGTCTGGCACTGGTTTTAGCTCCCCGTAGGGGATTTGGAGGTCATTTGGAGGTCAACCAGTTAACCAAAGTATGTATCTTACACCAGTTACCATGACTGAGTTAACACAACTCATACAGAGTCTGCCTCTCAAGAGCCATCAACAAAATGTGGATATTTCTACTAAAGTCCTAACTGAATGCCATGAATTCTTGGTTCAACCTCTCATAAATTGCATAAACCACTCTTTTCAAGAAGGACAGTTTCCAGACTTCTGCAAAATAGCAAGAATAGTCCCAATTTTCAAATCTGGTGACAAAACATTAACAAACAACTACAGACCTATTAGCATACTTACGCAAATATCAAAAATTCTAGAGAAACTATATAAAGTACGAATACTAAAATACTTGAATAAAATAAATTTCTTCACAGAAGCTCAATATGGATTCACATCAAGAAAATCCACTGAATGTGCAACCTTTAATGCAGTGAAATCAATTCAGGAAACTCTGGACAGTAATCATCTGGCTGCTGGTCTACTTATTGACCTTAGAAAAGCGTTTGATACTGTCAACCATCAAATCCTCTTGGAAAAAATGGAAAGAATTGGCATCAGAGGACCCTGCCATAGATGGATATCTACCTCTCTTACTGGGAGGACTCAATATGTTCAAATAGGCACATCCAAGAGTACCCTTACTCATATTTCTATTGGTGTCCCCCAAGGATCAGTCATGGGGCCTATATTATTTATCATATTCATTAATGATATAGCACATATTCCCCTCAAAGGGAAATTAATGCTATACGCAGATGATATTTTGCTACTCTATGACGGAAAAACTGAAGAAGAAGTAATGAAAAAAATTAATATAGACCTACTAATTCTATCAAATTGGCTAGACTCTAATCGTTTAATCATAAATGTGGACAAATCCAAGTATCTTTTCTTCCACTCTCCGAATTATCATCTAAAATCAAGCAATATAGTTCACCTTGGCAACAGTACTATTGAGAGAGTGAACACTGCTGTGTATCTGGGTCTGCATCTTGACTCCAGTCTATCATGGAATTACCATGTAGATTACATTATCAAAAAAATCTCTCCAGTTATCGGTATCTTATCAAGACTAAGACACAGTGGCCTTGACAAGAAAATACTGAGGAATATTTACTTTGCACTTATACATTCTCATCTCTCCTATCTAATAACCCTTTGGGGACACTGCTCTGCCACTTTACTGAAGAAACTTGAAATGCTACAAAAGAGAGCCCTTAAATTCATCTTCAACCTCCCCTACTGTGAACCCTCCCTAAATGTTTATAAAATTTCTTGCATTCTACCCCTATCCATACAAGCTGACCTGTCATCCGTTGTCTATATGTTTACCCGCATGGAAATAAGTATATCCAAATGACACTTTCAGGTATACTTTTGTAGAAAGTATACATTAGGTATACTTAAAATATAGCAGATTGGAACCGCAACACTTCGGTGGCACTTTAGGCAAACTTTTTTCATACTTTTTGTATACTTTTTTTACACTATTAAGACACTTTGGCCTGTCACTTTTTGAGCTCTTTTTTTCCGTGCGGGATAAAATCAAAAATAATATGGTAAATACCACAATCAAATTAAAATTTAATCAAGATGTTCACAATTATAACACAAGATCAGCAAGACAAATCCACCAAACGCATCATCATACATCAAGGCATGGAACCAACTCGGTGTTTAACACAGCTGTAAAGCTCTTCAACTCTCTCCCACAAGATCTGACTACCAGCTTTTCTTCCATTAAAAAATTTAAAAGAGCTGTTCACAAACTATACTTTGACAAGTTTTTTAACTGAAATGTAACTACTATTGCAGCTATTTTTATTACTTCTTCTCACTCCTGTTGTTTGCTATCCTTGCCTAATACTTCTATCGAGGGGTGCCCAACTCGAAAAAATCGTGTACACCTGATTACCAAAAAGCGACGATTACCAAGGATTACCGAAGATTACCGAGGATTACCTATGATTACCAAGGGTTTCCGAAGATTACCACTGACAAAAGATTACCAAAGATTGCCAGTGATTCCCAAAGATTACCAGTGATTACCAAAGATAACCAGTGATTACCAAAGATTACCAGTGATTACCAAAGATTACCAGTGATTACCAAAGATTACCAGTGGTTACCAAAGATTACCAGTGATTACCAAAGATTTCCAGAAATTTTCTTGCTGGATTACTGAGTGGTTACCAAAGATTACCTGGTGATTACCAACGATTACCTGTTGATTACCAGCGATTACCTAGTGATTACCATGGATTACCGGTGATTACCCTGGATTACCTGTGATTACCAAGGATTACCGGCGATTACCAAGGATTACCGGCGATTACCAAGAATTACCGGCGATTACCAAGGATTACCGGCGATTACCAAGGATTACCGGCGATTACCAATGATTACCGGTGATTACCAGGGATTACCTACTCTGTGTACACCTGATTACCTCAGTTGGGCACCCCTCGAC